TGATTGAAGACAAGGAAACCAAAACCCTTAACCCCCAAGAAAAAGAAAAAAAAAACCTTAGGATTGTTAATTTTTTTGTCTGTTTTTTCAATTTTCTGATAATTATTGAATTCAAACAAAGTTAACTAATTGTTTCTCAAATATCAAATAAGTTAATTAGACATTTCAAAAAATTTAATTAATTATTTTACTTACCGAAAAACAAAAATAATAATTTTAAGCATCGGGGTTGAATTATAGATTCAAGTGACCTACTTATACTCCTTTTTTTCTGAAATATGATTGTTTGGATTTTAGCTATATTTACTGTTTTAATTTTTTAATTATTTAATATATAACTTATGTTTTAACTTACTTTCGTAATTTTGTTAAATTTTTAATTCACCAATAATTAATTTATAGTTAAATTAAATTTGATTTTTGTATTTAAAATATTAGTAACCAATTATTAATAATTCGGAATATTTTTAGTTCTATCTTTTGGTAAATATATTTCTTGTTTTATGCAATTTGAGATTATATGATATGTATTATACTTACTCATGACTCTAAAAATGTAAAAGTTATTAACCATTAATTATATATAACACTAGGGTATATTGAGTAATGGTAATTATTTTATTAAATCACCACTAGATGTGTAATAAAACAAATTTAAAGTCTTCATGTAACGGCCTCGGAAATTTAAAATGAAATATGTGTATTAAAAATGTTAAATGCGGAAGCGAAGTCAAAATTTCGATTAACATCCCTTACACTAAAACCAAAAACGTGCTCAAAATATAAAAGATCAAACTAACTAAAAGAGAAATTCGAAAGTAAAAGATATGAATATGACTATGGAGTCTTTAGGCGTCCCCTTCGTCGTCTTCTTGCGGAACGGGCTCGGGAACAATGTTTTCCTGATCTGAAATGATTAAATAAGGAATGAGCTACACTAGCCCAGTAAAGACATCACGATATCTCACCGTCACGGAGGTAAAGGTGGGTAGAAAACACAAAAAGACCAATGGAGCATGATTTACAACAAATCCTTTTATTAATAGTAAAACTTTTACCATTCACTTACCTCGGTGAAATTCATAAAACAATATACGAAAGCAATAACATTATCATCATCATGAAATCATATAACTGTATAACATAATACTTATCACGCCTTTTGTAATTCAATCATTACACAACATATTTTTCCTCATTTACCAGCCCACTAGTATCCATGGGGATCCATAGGGGTCCCGCTACCCGTTAACCCTTAACACTTGTAATCAGATTCCAGGGCCGTCCTCATACCCCGTCCGGTATGGGCGCCAAAACTATAAACCTCAATACCCCGTCCGGTATGAGGGTGAAACGGGCCGTCCCCATACCCCGTCCGGTATGGGCACCAAAACACATAAGGTCTCCATACCCCGTCCGGTATGAGAGACCACAATCCCGGTAGGGTTCCCTACGGACCCGGTCCGTCCACCATCTCCCAGGATATCTAGTCAGGCTGACCACATTATACAATTATCAATCTACATAATCTTTCATTCTCCTTTTCCTCGGTCAGCATCATCAATTCACATACAAACAAGCAAAACAGTAATTTATGCCAAACAAGACAACATACAGCATCGGTTTCTCAGTCATTCAACCCATAATCAATAAAACAGTAAAATATGCACACGAAACTATGAAATGAAAACATCATACCTCATACTGCATTTAAAACTGTAAAATAGGCCAAATAACAGTTAACCGACAAACACACTAGACCCGGGCTCTATTAGCGATCTTAAGTAATTTCACACATTCGTTGATTCAAGAAATACCGTTTTATCATCATTGAACTTTAATACCGTGATAGGAAATAGGGTGAGGGGTCCTTACTCGTTTCGGGGTCCGAACACGGCTTCACAATGCGCCTACAAGCTATCCCTAATTTTTCCTGAATTTTTCTCGGGGAACTGAAACGCACTACTGGTACCTGCACGTATTCTAAAAAATTCCAAATTAGGCCCAGGGCCCCTTTTTGGCCAATATCGCAATTCCGGCACGGCGGCTCCGCCGTGCTCCGGCGACGGAGCCGCCGCAAGCGGCGGCGATTCGCCTCGAGTTGGCCGTTTTCGGCCGTTTCAGGCCGAATTCGGCCATACTTACATCGGTCCCTGCGATAAAACAACCCTAGGGCCCTCGGGGGGCCAAAAAATTACGAAAAATCGAAGCTTACCGGCGGCGGTGCGCTCGAGTGCGGCGGCTCTCCAATGAGGTTCGTGTTTTGGTGATTCGGCTCCGATCAACCTGTAGAGAAAAGAATGGTGATCATGGTGATATAAAAATTGCATCAAATGGAGGCCGGGAAGGGCCTCATCGGAGGCAAAAACCGAGGAGGGGCGCGGCGGCGCCGCTGGGTTTCGGCCGTGTTTTCCGGCCGTTTGGCCGGAATTTTGGCTCCGATTTGGCCACAGGGGAAATCAGCGTGGAAAAATGAGTCGGGGGTATGAAATTTATCTCGATCGGCGGTCGAAAATCTCCCCGGTGCGGCGGCGGGTGGCGGCGGCCGGCTTCTCCGGCGTCTGGTTCGTCTTCTCCGACGAGGGCAGGCGGCTAGGGTTTTTGTGGTCAGGTGTGGGGGTTCTATTTATACCCTTTTGGCTTTTGATCTCAGCCGTCCATTTTGATTTAATCTGGGCCGTCCATTTTTTATTGAATTTGGGACGTCCGTGCGATTGCATCTGAGCCGTCCGCGCGCACGCTTGATCTGTACCGTCCGATCGCGCGTACACGGATCGCCAACGTGGCCCGTCCCCGGTCGACGTGGTCTTGCCACGTGGCAGGTCCTGGTTGGCTAGGACTACTGACTGGGTCTGCTGACGTGGCGTTCTTTTTTTTTAACTTAATAAAAATAATTAATAATAAAATAACAAAATTTCCCAATTTTTCGGGCGTTACACTTCAATTTCAAACAATAAATATGCACACATGTTTATGAAACTATAATTACCTCTACCTATAATTTATCTTGAGTACTTATAGTTTTATGTTTATAAACTTAAGAAATTTTGGAAAGCATTTTGTACTTATGAATACAATACATATTTTTTTAATGTGAGTACCAAAGATTATGGTGATTTTATATGCATTAAAATGTCCTACATATTATTCAAATTTTCTATAAATTTTAGAGCATTAACTAATAATTCTGTAATTTATTATTTGAATCAATTTTTGATATGAGGTAATTTTATTTCACAAGCTTCATACACATTGCTTAGCACATAAGATCCTTCTGAAAGCAATTAGTTATCAAGAAGTTATCCTCCAATTCAATATCGTATCCAAAATAATAGAGATTTTGTCACTTACTAAGATTAATTTTTATGACACTGAGGCCTCAATATATTTTCAATATGAAAAACTGCATAGCTTACATTTATTTCAAAGTTATTATTGTATTAACAACTATAATTATAAATTAACCTTAGTAGGTTTTTCTTATGCCTCTAGTTCTTATACAAATCTCAATTCTCTTGTGATATATACAAGCTCATGTCTTCCTCTGTTCAACAACAAACTTCCCTTATTGAGAAATTGACCATGGCTTATTGTGATAGATAGTTGGGGGCATCTTCTCTCTCATACAATTTGCTAAATACTTTATAAATTTAGTTTCCTTGTAGAAAACAAAAAAAAAAATCATTGTTGAAGTCCATTATCTTCTCATATCATAAAGGAAAATTTTCTTCGTCTTGTCCTCCTTATCCATGTCACATGAGTTGTACTTCATTAAAACTTGGTCATTCTAATCTATAGAGAGGATTACTCGATTTGCAACAACATTTACAATAATAACTCAAACATGGATTAGAGAAGAATTTCATGAATTGTAAATATCTACATGCTTCATGAAAAGGGAAGCAGTTGGTTTGATGTTGAGAGATTTGATAAAAAAAGTGGTAACGTGGACTTAAAATTTAAAAATGATTGCGTTAAATTCAATAATAGAGATAAAGATCTACCTGTAGCTACAAGCTCATCAGCAATAAGTTTGGCTTCTTTAAGCTATTAGGAGACAATTATGTCTTCTCGTTGTAACTTAAAAATGATCATATAGAGTTGCAATTAACAATTTTGAGAGATGGAATCTAAATCCTTATATAAGGCATCTCAAAATTATAAAAAGTTTTTATGTCAATAACATAGGAAATGACTTTTTTAATTAGAATTGATATATGAGAGTCATGATGGTATAGTCAGAATTGATAATCAATGATCCATATGCATAAGTGATTATTTTTTAGAAAAATGATAGAGGTCCATCATTATATAACTAGCCAAATTTTAATAGTTTAAAATGAAAATAAATTGAGTTTTATTTAGAAGATAATTATAGATAACGGATTTAATAGAAAACTAATTGTGAGAAATAGAATGAGATGGAGAAAATATTGAAAAAGAAAAAGAAGGAAAATTTGGGTGAGCACTCTAATATGAGAATGAATAAGAGACCATTTTTTCCATTTGGTTCTAATGCCTTGTCAATTTAAGAGGCTCAAGAAAATACTTTCATATTACTATTATGCTCTTATTTATAAACATGAATTTACAATGTGAATATAAGATAAACTAGTACGAAATATTAAATACAATAATTTTACAAGTAGTGATGCTCATTACGAAGTTGTATTGATACAGATATCCCATAATTATTGAATATATAAATTTAAACTAAAAAAATACAGTCTCTTTATATATACATAATTAATATATGATCAATATGATTACTATTTCCTTAATAGAAGAATGAAGTCAGATTCACTATACCATGTTGCAATAATTGATCCATGAATACATTGGGTAAAGTATTATGCACCTAACAATGGTAGTGTGTTCATGAAAAGGAAAAAAGTGAATGAAATTAAAGATCGAGTTTATGATCAAGAAGTTAAAACAAGAGCCAAGATTTCTTAAAATAATTGGACTAAGCAACTGGTCAATAGCTAATTTGCAATAAACAAGTCTATTAATAATCAACTTAGCTAATTTATTAACGTGTTGGGATAAAATTTGTTCTTTCTTTAGAGTTTCTACAATCTACTGCCAATAAAATTGACGAAGTCTTCCTAGACTCAAAGAAAAAATGTGTGACCAGTTAATATAAGGAGACTTCTTCTTATGGGGAGGATAAATAGTAAACATAATATCAAATTTTGATTTTTTTTTTTTTTTTGCCTAAATGTTGATTCTTTTGAAACTAAATGAAACAGTCAAGATTAAGTGTGGTAAGAGATGAGTTTTTAGGACTAAGTATCTTTCTATGAAGAGCACATCGAGCACCATTAACAAATTTATAGAGGTTTTAATAGCTAAGAAGATATAAGGTTTGTGTATAGGAGTAGATAGTTAAAAGCGATGAGTTTAATAAAAAGACATTATATATAGATTGAATGGACTAGAGGGTTAATAAACTATCTTTTCAAGTTAGGCTAATTCATGAGTCTGATTGAAATAGTTAAAGTAGTTGAATAGTAGAGGTGGTGAAGGAGGAATAAATATGTGATAGGGTATGTTTTTATATATTAGATAAGCTTTGACACAATATGAATGCTAACGATTTAAAAGATAGGAAACATAATATCTTCTTGTATGTTGCTATTCACTGTTTAGAGAGGTGAGGGGAGTAAAATCATAAATCTATAAAATTACAAATAAATGATAGTAGAAAAAGAAATTAGAGGATATAATTTATTTTAAATATTTTCTTATTATACTTATGATTGAAGAAATAAAAAGGGGTTTAGAATTCTTAACAGCTTTACTTCGTTTTTTTTTTTTTTTTTTGGCTCAACAAATTGTGCGACAATTGGATATTCACCATAGCCGACAAATATTCCAATAATCAGAAACCATCAAAATTATAGAAAATAATTTCTTTAAATATTTATATATAATCCATGAAGTCTTTAATTAACAATTACATTTAGCTAAAAATAAAAATGTAAAAGAAATAGAAATACCCTAGATGATTTATAGAGATAGTGATAAAAATGGGATGAAGGGTTATTTTTAAATCAAAAACTAACTATGAGATTGCTTTTGGAAAAATAAAAATAGAAAGTTGAAACCTGAAATTTGGTTAACAGAAAAGGTGGTTGAGAAGATGGTAATTAATAGTTTTGTTGGGTAAAAAAAAGGGTTTTTATGGCATCTAAACAGGTTAATTTTGTTTGTAAATCTTCAAAATAAAAGACTGAATTTTCTTAAATCAAGAGAGGAAAAAACAAAAGAAAAAGAGAATTTGATAGATATTAATCAAACAAAATGTGGCTCCCAAAGGTGAAGACTGCAAAGAAGGGAGCAACAAAAAATGGGTTGGTAGCAGTTGCAGTAGACAAAGATAAAGGAAGTCAATATGCATTGAAATGGGCAGTTGAGAATCTTCTTTCTAGAGGCCAAACTGTTCTTCTAATCCATGTTGTTCATAAATCAGTATCAAACCCTTCAAGTAAATACATATACTCTCTCTCTCTCTCTCTCTCTCTCTATATATATATATATATATGTGTGTGTGTGTGTGTGTGCGTGCGTATATAACACATATGTATGATTATTATTTATATATTTATCATTATTTTTTTGTCAACTATTTCACGATGTTTCATGTTCCGATTACAAAAATTTATGTTATTTTATGATTGTGTAGCTCATGGTCACGATCGTCTGCGATCGGAAAAGTCAACTACAAGCAAAGATGTTTTCCTCTCATGTCATTGCTATTGCACACGTAAAGATGTATGTATGCTCAATTTTTTTCCTCTTTACATATCTGATGTATGTATAGTAATTTAAGTGAATAATAATGCCAAATTGGGTGTTTTATATAGTAAGAAATAATTGAGTTAAAAGCAAGGATTGAAATCTAATATATTGAAGAAAGTCTAATTACATTATCTCTATACATACATCAGATATTCTGCTTTGATGTCGTACTCCATGACATTGATATGGTGGGAGCATTAACAGAATATGTATCTTATGCCGCAATCGAAAATCTGGTTCTTGGTGCCCCATCAAGGAATGGATTTATTAGGTATCTTCTTCTCAACTTCACACAGATGCATCATAATACAATACTTACATTTGCGTGTTTATATATATTACATATATTGCTTTATCTACTAGTGTGTTAGCAGCGATGTTAAAGAAACATACAAACGTAAATGTACAACGTTAGAAAGAAAAATACAACTACGAATATTATATAATAATTATCACAATTGTTCCTCTTAATCCAAGCATGATAGAACCCTTTATCGCAACACAATAGAAGGGAAGCACTTGGTAAAAGCATTGGCATCTTAGTTATTACAAATATTTCAAATTCATGAACAAAGTGTAAAGTCAATTGAGTTAAATTATTTTTTTTTCTAAAAATAAAACTAGTCGTAATATTAGAAACTTAAACCTCAAAAATTTAAATTAATTATACATTATTAAACAAATCTTAAAATTTGAAACCACCTGCGTGGTAACTGTAATAATAGTAATATCTTAAACATTATAAGGATGAGGTTCGTAGTTTCGATCATGGCATGCCCTACTTGTTACTCAACCATTCCTGTATTATCATATTTGACTTTTGAGTAAGGAAACAATGATCTCCTCCTAGTAAGCCCCGAAGTATATATATATATATAATGTTGATGTTTGAAACCATGCAATTAGCTTTTTATGTTTTCATTAAAAGAAACAAGTATAGATGATAACATACACGATAGGATAGTTCCCCGAGCCTCCATCCAACAAACACCAACAATTGTGCTTGCCATTATCCAGTATTTGTTTTAACAACAAATTTTGTCTTTATAGATCAAGAGATTATCTCCAGAACCTACATTATATTATTGAGCTTTAGTTCACATGTGATTATATTATTGAAGAACAATGATATAATAAATAATTCTGTTCGAGAAACAGAAAGAAAAAAAACAAAAAGAACTTTAGTTCATAAGATAAAAAATGAACAACATCAAAAATCTGAAAAAAAAAAAAAAAAAAAAAAAAAAGGAACTTGTATGAAGAAACATATCATGTCAATAAATAGTTATAATAATGAAGCAAGTATAATGATACCCAAATATCAAATCCCCATGTGAATTACGCTATACATATACATGTGTGTGTGTATATATACACACCACCATTAAACACTTTTTATGCCTGGACTAACTTGGCTGGCTTTTTTGTCTAATAGACGCTTCAGAACAGATGTTCCTAGCAGTGTGTCTAAAGCTGCACCAGATTTCTGCACGGTATATGTCATCTCCAAAGGGAAGATTTCGTCGGTTCGAAACGCCTCTCACTCGGCTACATATACTTCTCCATTGTTAAGTCAAATAGAGAATCAAAACCCTAATATTTCTTCTAATCAAACTAGCAGAAGTCTTAGAGGTTTGTTCTTCCCGTTTCATAAAAGTTGACCATTATAGTTTATGTTGCTTCAAGCACTGACCTCAAAATTTACTGTCTTGATCATGCATGAGTAGTAGAGAGGACACAGTCCAAGCTTCGCACCCCAGTTCATGATGATAGAGTAAAGTAAGTCCAAATATCATTACATAGTTAATATTTATATATTTAATCTCTTAAAAATAAATTATCAGCAACTATAACACATTTAATCTCCAGAAAAATAAGTTATCACAACTCAACATGAATCAAGTCTAATGGATTAATTAAAAAAAAAAATCTATTTAATTATAAATTAACAAATAAAATAAATTATAATTTTTATATTAATTTTTAATAAATTATGTGCAACATATTCAGTTTTGTAGATAATTATTTCGGCTTATTATTATTTTTTAAAATGCATATATTTCCATGCATAAAACTATATATACTTATTGAAAATGTTAAATGCTTTTGAAAAAATTGAATGAGAAGTTGAGAAAGTTTAAAAAAATAGAAAGCAAAGTACAGGGAAGAATTAAGAAGTTGCTGGAATGATTTTTTATTCATATTTTTCAGCATACATCAGCTTTTTAAATAGACATTAAATCAGATTTACTGATTATACAACTTCCAAAAACCAAATTTCTAATGACTTGTGCTGATTTAATATAAATCTGCATATTTTCAACAATTTGAATTACTTTTTTGCATATTTTCAATAAGCTGAATTAATTTTTTTCTGGAGATTTGCATAAGTTTTTATTCAAAAAAAGTCCCATAAGTCAACAGAAAATAAAAAACGTAATAAATACATAAATGTATATTCGTGCACTGACCTCCTGAATTTTGCCTGCAACAGGTCACCTTTTGGAAGAAGAGGTTACGGGAAGCCATTGTCAGATTTTCCAGAACAAGAAACTGATATATCATTTGTCAGCTCTGGCAGGCCAAGCACAGATCACCGATCTTCTTTCTTCTTAAACTATAGTGAATCAGTGCCAAACTCAAGGCCTTCCACCAGCTCAGATTATGGTATTGGCTCACTTTGTTTGGGAATCAAGCTCAACAATCAGATTTCGATGCCTGATATGTCTCCAGGTTCACAAGGAAGTGACAGACTGTCTTGTTCATGTTCATATTCATCCCAGAACATGGTAAGGACCCATTACCTTGATATTACAGCATGCTAAATAAGTTATAAGGTTCTTAAAGAAGAAAAGCAGCATAATAACCTATATTAAATGCATAATGTTTACAAAAACACACAGGAAGATATGGAAGCAGAACTGAGGAGGCTGAAAGTGGAACTAAAGCAAACAATGGACCTGTATAATACTGCATGTAAAGAAGCACTTAATGCAAACCAAAAGGTACTGAAAATTCATTTTCAATTCATAATTTTCCAAATATGCTGAGCTATGTAACCACATATTTAACCAGGCTAGGTCAATGGTGGAGCAAGAGAGAGCTAAGTACAAGGCGGCAATGGAAGCAGCTGAGGCTGCAAAAAGAATTGCAGAGTTGGAGGCACAGAGAAGAGTGACTGCTGAATCAAGAGCTCTTCAAGAATCAGAGGAAATGAAAAAGGTCTGGGATACGCTAGCTGAAAATGGTATGAAATATAGACGATATACTATTGAGGAGATTGAAACAGCAACAGAAAACTTCTCTGAATCTCGCAAGATAGGCGAAGGAGGGTATGGCCCCGTTTACAAATGCTATCTTGATCATACGCCAGTCGCTGTAAAGGTTCTACGGCCGGATGCAGCTCAAGGAAGCTCACAATTTCAGAAGGAGGTAAGAACAACAAGAATTCTATCTGCAAACTTCAATGCTAACCCTGCAGCATAGAACTAGATTACCAATAAATGTTAGAATTAACTAATTTTTTTATTAAAAATCATAAATTATCGGTTACAAATAAAAATTATAAATGAGTTATTATAAAATAAAATTAAAATAAAACAATAATAAATTAAATAATACTTATGAAATAAATAGATGGTTACAAATTGGAAGATTAATAGGATCACTGTTTATATATAAATCATGTAATGTTATGTATTGTCCTTGATTGAATAGAAAGTTTATATTCTTTATTTTTAATATATTCTCAAATTAAATAATTTGCATCAACAACAATTTGTATTCTTCATTTTATTTCCAACAGTAAATACTGAAATTTCTATACTCTTGATAAATTTAATGCAGATTGAAGTACTAAGCTGCATAAGGCATCCTAACATGGTACTCCTCCTCGGAGCCTGTCCCGAGTATGGCATTCTAGTTTATGAATATATGGCTAAAGGAAGTCTGGATGATCGTCTCTTCCAGCGAGGAAATACCCCAGTGCTTTCTTGGCAGATCAGATTCCAAATTGCTGCAGAGATTGCTACAGGTCTACTTTTTCTCCATCAAAGCAAGCCAGAGCCGCTGGTTCACCGTGATCTCAAGCCAGCAAACATTTTGCTAGACCAAAATTATGTTAGCAAAATAAGTGATGTTGGATTAGCCAGGTTACTCCCTACTGTCGCTGAGAATGTAACTCAATATCGAATGACTTCCATGGCCGGAACATTTTGCTACATCGATCCTGAGTATCAACAAACAGGAATGCTGGGTGTAAAGTCTGATCTGTATTCTCTAGGAATTTTGCTTCTGCAACTTCTTACAGCAAAAAAACCAATGGCTTTAGCTCATCATGTTGGGGAATCTATCAAGGAAGGAACATTCAAAGCAATGTTGGATCCTGGAGTGCCTGACTGGCCTGTTGAAGCTGCCTTAT